TCACGGCTTAACCGTAATGGCGCTAGCTTTAATTCAAGTGGCGCAATTGAGCGCATAACCAAATGTATCAGGTGACCTAGTTACAAGGGACAAAATACGTACTGGGGGGGGGCTACGTTCACTTGGCCCCCCCAAATGTTTTTTCGGATTTCTAAAAAACGATGATGGCGCAAGAGTTATTATCGGTGGCGCATATGAGCGCATTCATTTCAAAATAATACGACTATGAAATCTCTCAGTGGGGGGGCCAAGTTAACGGACCCTTTTAAGGGAATTAAGGGAGGACTCCTCGATGAACTATTTTCCGAGGTGCTATTTTGGAAAGTAAAACTTGCCTATCTTTTATACGCCACGACATTTTTTTTGTCAAATTGTGCATACATTGCCTCTAGTGGTGCTAAGTACCTACTAATAATTTTAAAATTGGAGAAGGCGGGGGAGCAAACACTCAGTATTCCCTTCGTAGTATTCTAACGGAAAGGCGTACACGCAGATTCCAATCAACCCAAAAGACATAGAGAAGACTGACGTGATTACCCCGTTTGGGCTATTTGAATTCTCTGACATGCACTTTGGTCTCCGCACCTCTGAATAGCATCGCAATCACAATCACCTTCGTCTGCGATTTCAGCGCCTAGTACATTATGTACTACTTGCCAACATATCGAAGAGCATCATCGGCCAATCCAAAGTTACATTCTTACGCTACGGGAATGTGCGCTCTCCCCGGTCGCATTTTAGCCTTGCAGAATTATCCCTTGCCGAAAACTGCGAAAGACGTCGTTTTCTGGGGATGGTGAATTTTTATAGAAGCTTTCTAGCTTCTGCGGCGGTATATCAAGTCCCACTTCAAGACGCCGTAGGTAAGCTTTGCGGTCTACACACGGCGACATGGACATTGGACAACGTCCTTAGAACAAGCTTTCGACGGATGTAAGGCGACCCTTCTCATGCTTCTGTTTCGGTCAGCTCAAGACGCCCCTCTCGGATGTTTCACTGATGCGTCCGCCATATCGGTTGGCGCAAGCTTAATACATGGACGATGCTTGGCAGCCTCTTGCTCCCTTTTCGCGTAGGCTTCCTGCACAACACTTGAAGCGTCTGCCTACTCCGCCTCTAATCATACCAGTGAGTAGTGTAGTATTAATTTTGGTTAATTTATGCAATATACTTAATTTTCTAAATTGTTTGAATAAAATAACAGGACCTTGACGTACAATCCTTCGGTTGGGTGCATTTTCCCATTTTAAAATACAGTCTGTGTTCTTTGGAGTTCGCCCATGTGTTTGTATGTTACGGCTTTTACCAGGAGTAGAGCTCCATTAAAATTTCGCTTATTATAACTGATTTGGAGTGTTATTACAACTTTGGATACCATATACGAAGCATACTCCCAGAAGATTTCGATTGGATACCTCTCAATATTTCTTTATTTTGAAAAAAGAAAATTATTTTCTTTCATTCTTGCTTTTGTATGTATTCTACCGTCTGGTAATACCAGATAACCCACAACTCCCGTACTGTAGACTGCATCTGCACATATAATAATTAATTGATTTGGCCACCCGCGGTCACTATCCTACCTTACAAAATCGTCGTATATACTACAGAATTGCAACACGAATGTGTTGTCCACAAATACCTCTAACAACGTCTATCTTATCAATTCATGGAAACGTGTACTTTAGAAATTCTCTTTCGCAAATAAAATTTAATCATAAAAATTGTGTCTTTATTTAAACGAGAAAAGTTGGGTACCTATCTGCCTCCATCTTCTCGTACTTCTTAGTTTATCAAAAAGTTCTAGAGCAAACTCGCGAAGTATTGTAGCTCGTTGGAAACTGAACCCCATGTTATTTTTCTTTATATTAAATTAAGGCACCTCTTACTTCATTGGATTCCAAGATTCTTTCTTTCGTGTCTTTTGCACTACTTCTAGTTGTCGCTACTTTAATTATAACAACTATACTGTTTTTAATTTAATCCACCATCGATTTTTTCCTATTATCTTTATGGTTGTTTTGGTGGTTGTTGTGTTTGTGTATTTCCATATTTTTGTTTGGTGTAGTCTCATGTTTTGCTATGATTACATTTATCGATCAAGTTCTGTATTTTTTCAGTTTCTATTACCCCTTTACTTACCTTATCGGGAGTACTAAAATCAGTTAGTTACCTTAGCAATGTATTCCTTATTATCCAGCATACAATGCAGTGTTCCATTTGAGTTGTGCCAAAAAAATCAGGTGATAGGGCAGTTATAGCTCGTTCTTCAGCAGGAAGAGTGAAAAATATTGGCAGGGTGTTGACGATTAGGAATTTTTGACGAGTTTGGCTAACAATAAATGCACCACTACTTTTAGGGAGGATGCCTCAAGTTAATCCAACTTGAAAACTGTTTCAAATTTCGCATGTGTTCATTGGAAAACGACAATTTTGTAAAAGGTATAAACAATTATAATCCATTAATCAACCACATGATAATGCAATTTTTGTGCAAATATAATAGTCTGTTAAAACTTCATTAATTTTAAAAGAGAAAGTACCGACACTAAAAATTACTATGCAGTAGGTGGTATGGCGAGTAGGTGTAACAGGAAACGGCAACAGGTCCCGAAAAGTATTGCAGAAAAGGTCAAAGATGCGCCCATTTTTGGACACTAAACGAAAGCAAAGCTCGTACGCGGTGACCTCTAGCGCCCATTGTGTTTTTTTCTAACAAGCTTCATCTATCCGTGACACGAAATACGCTGAGAAAATTAACTACAGTCATACCGAACTACCTTAAACAAAAGAATATTATGCTCATTATCCTGTACGTATTAAAATTGTAATATGGAGGCGTTTCACAACGCCAATTTGAAACGACACACCTGAAAGTACAATTTCTGCCCCTCGCAACCGGTTTCGGCTTGCAATATCCACGGGTTATCGCTTTTAACAACTTTCTCCAATATTTTTCTTCCGGGAATGAAATATACGCGTTATATTTGCAAATGCCTAAAGTTCGCACCATTCCTTCACCTTTTTCCATAAATTGTTACCATTTCCGTATCTTGTCGGTATTAGATGCCCAAAACTTAATCAATGTGACTAAATCAAACTCATCACATGTTATTTTTATTTAAATAATCAATTTCACGGTCAAGAGGACAACGCGAATGTTGTTAGCTACATTTTAACACACCTCGTATTGTAAAAAAAGGAGGAAAACTGGATGATGAAGGTCGACGCTTAATTTTGTTAATTGTAAATAAAATGACGTCTGTTGGGGGATTTTTGGCAATTTCAACGATTGTTATCCACTTGAATATGTCGTGTCCACTTCCGATCGTTTTTGAGTGCTTTCACACATTTTTTGCGCGATCGGTCATTTCTGACTATTTACCATGGGTGTTTCCATGACAGTACGTAGAATTTACCAGTTGCTATGATTACGACGACGCCAAAATTACTTACCGATCTAAAAACAGAACAGCAAAAATACTTACCGACGCCTTTTTAAAAATCAACAGTCTTACATTACATTTAATCTTTAATTATTGTTAGGTACATTAAACGTACAATTTGTGCTGTTGTTTCCTATAAGACGCTCATAAAGTCATAAAGGAAGTGCAAAGCTAGTAAACTACATCAGACACATGCACATTTTTATGAAATTATTAATTTCAATTTTGACATTTAAACTGGTTACCTAGTGATGTACACCATACCACTTCGATTATTTCGATTTATTCTGCTCGTTAATTTCTTAGTGCATATTTATATTGGTTGGATAATTTTAATTTCGATCGCGCAAAAAATGTTATAAGCACGTCGAACGTTAAGGGTTACCGTTCTCAGACAATAATTGGAGTCGTCGCTTCGCTCCTCCTCCAAACAATTGTCTTCGAACGGTAAAAATCCCTTACCGTTCTCCATACTTAATATACTATATAGTTTAAGATTTAGCATGCATTCCATGCATCGGAGAAAGCACAAAAGCGGAACGTATTCTCCCATTACCAATATTGAAAACAAGAACCAAAATTGATGCAAAATTTAATTAGTCACAAAAACAAACAACTTGAGTTTTATTTATAACAATAGTTATTTACGTTATAAGTCCGGTAGGTTACTTGTAACAGTACGAGTTAGACATTATGGACGAGGCGACGTCAGGAACTCAGGAGCCGAGTGAAGAATGTCTTAAACGAGTACTGTTACAAGTACCTACTACCGGACGTATATCGTAACGTATTTTATTTCATACTGTAAGTCTGTTTTGTGTCATTATTTCATTTCAAAGATTACAAAATTTCATTATATTGTAAAAATCGCATTACCTTGTTTCTGTGGCAACGGCCGTTGCTATAGTTTGTAGTTTGTTGACATTAAATTTTTTTCACGGAAAAATGGACGCTATAAACGTTGTGGGATGTTCCACTGTTCCCGATACAATCCTGTTGAAATCTCATGAAGCAACCGAGTTGGTTCCTAAGAAGTCGGCCGCAAGGTATGAAAAAGAGTACTAAGTATTTTGCCAATTAAGGAACGAACATGGGGCGAAACAAGTAGAGGAAAACGTCATGTTGGCATACTGTTTGGATGCAGTAAGTTTTTGAATTGAGATTTTTTTGCCTGGGTTTCGGTGTTAATTAAAGCGTCATGGGGCATGGAAAAGCTCATCGACGGCAGAAAAATACATCAAAGACTCGGTAGAAGGAAAAGTTAAGATTGCCCGTATGATACAACTGATGCAAGGCCGTGAAAATTTCATTGAAGTTCTACAGCAGAAGGAATCAAACATTACTAACTCGACATCCAGTAATAACCCAGGCGTTAGTGTTGAGGGTAATACAAATTGTTTCATTACAATCAATGTTAATGTTTGAAATAAAGAATTACAGCCAAATTTATGTTGGGGTTTTTAATTAATTGTGTGAAGATGTCAAATTTGATGTATACAAATAACAGTCCGGTAAGTGTTGCTTAGCGACACTTACCGGCTCTGATGCTGTAATAACTCACCTACCGGACTCAAAATGATATAGTATAATCCAACATCTACCGGACAGTATGAAATAAAGGTATACTAAGAAACATCTTGTCTTATTTATAGATAACACAAATAATAGCAAGGTTTTATGAAATCCCCTGAATCGATATCACTTATCAATAGTGTTTTTCTGCTACAAAAGCAAAACTATATAAGCTCTCATGGCCTATCCAAATGGGCAAGTGGTCGCGATGGAACACCATAAAATTGTTTTGATTGGCGCTCTGCTGATGGCATCAGTATTCCTAACAGGTAGCACTTTTTGCAAATTAATTTCAATTGAAATATATCTTTCAGATGCCTGCAAGGGCACACCAGATAGTGATTGCGCCAAGGCCGTTCCCGAAAAGATGGAAGTTAAGCAATGCGAGGGTCCTTCGGTATGCCATTACACCGACATACGAGCAGGCGGTAGGTAAGTTTTTAAAAGTCTATTACTATCCCTACTTGAATTTTGTCGTGATTATAGACACAAGAAGCGTTTCAAGGGGATGCACAAAGTCTGGTCTTAAAGATCTGTGCACGACATTATGGCAACTATCCGCCATGTTTCCAACGGCTCAAAAGATTTTTGAGTGCAAAACGTGTAAGGGCGAGAAGTGTAATGTACAAGTTACTCCATAATCTTGAATCGGTGCATTTAGTTAATTAAATTATTTTTTATTATACCTGAATCACAATCTCCGTTTTAAATACTCACGTGTATAATTGGTCTTTAAAGCACTTGCAACGTTAAAGGCACTCCGCTTTGCGTCGTGCCCTTAAACTCGTTGCGCGTGCTTTAAAGACTTGATTATACACTTGTATCTTAATATACTATAATTAGTAAAGGATTTGATTGAGTCCTCTGGTTTTTTTTGGCCATTTTTCAAAAGAAAAAAATTCCCGAAATACCGGGATCCCGCAGCATTTTTGCGGGATTAATCTCCCGCACATAAATGGAGCGAGATCCCGCGGGATTTGCGGGACTGAGGAATTTGTCGACCAAAGGGACAACTCTGTTTGCTTTGTTAATGAAACGCATAACGGAGAAATTATTTTTAAATTAATTGTTAAACTTTTTTCGTTAAAAATGTACTATGATTTTTGAGGCACTTTAGAAGTTCACCTTTTTGTGCGTTACAGGTGATTTTTTTTGAGTTCCAAGTTAGGCTGAAGGTACTTTTTTGTTGAATATTGTGATAATTAGCGATTTATATTAATACAGAAGTTAACCGCACAAAATTGCTTATTTGCCAATTTATTTAAAATTTTTACGGGCTCCCGCAAATACCGGGATCCCGCGGGATTAACATCCAACGATCCCGCAAATACCTACCGGGATTGAGATTGCCGTCTGAAATTCGCCAGATGTATTTCTGATAAACGATAGTAAATAGTTGGCTTCTTGTGTTCACTTATGAAATGCAATTTGGTGAAATGAGAATCCTTAGGAAGCAAGATAGGATGTCAGTTTTCGAATGACCATGAAGAACGTTTGAGTTTACCAGGAACGCGTAGGCCCTTATCATCTAACAAAGCGAAAGACTAGTATTACTACCCTTTTGTACTTGGATGGATTAATTCAAGAAATTTATTTCTGAGCTGGTGGGTAGTGCTCTGCTTGCACCATTTTTGCACGATTATTCAGTCTATTTGAAGTTCTTCATTACTCAACGGCCCATGTAACCTATCATTACCTGATTTGAGATTATGCATGAAACGTAAGCAGACTGCCATAGAGCGTTGAAGCATTGAAAGATTTTTTCTATATTTATTGTTGGGCGAATTTTTGCTATTGTATGTAGAACTTGCGATGTGTTGACTTCAGGAAGTTCTATTTTTTGACACACAGATACTAAAGAATCTCTTTGATCAAAATTCGAAGTGAGATCTGGAACCAATTTTTTAGAATTTACAAAAAAAGATAAAAGCAGCGACCTTTAAAAAAATTAATACCAACGATACCGACCATAGCAGGTGTCAATTAGCGAAAATCCGAAGTCTCTAGTTGATCGAGATCTCGATTGAACAGACAGACAGACAGGCAGACGACGATAGATTATATAAGATTATATAAGGGTTACCGCAACTTCGTTGTGTTACGCTAAAATATACTACAAAATAAACATAAAACATACTCATATATTTTTTAGGGAAATGTTTGAGAAAACGATTGACATGTGGACTATCATCGTCACGTTTATGTTGTACGGAATGTTCCCCTAAAATGTTTCTAAATCAACTTTTAGTGAAATTCTGTTACGTTTTTCTAGAGCATTTTGCATAGAAAAAGAGTGGTGGTCAACTTGAACAAATTGACGAAGAAGAGAAGGAAATGTGCCGCGATAAACTTCGAAATGATGAGGTAATTAAACGTAAAATTTCAATTTCTTTCAATTTGCATGGAAGATTATAAAAAAATCTAGACTTTAATTATATCACGTTCGAAATCGTATGATGATACGTCTAACAAACGTCCTAAATTCCGAAATTCACATAATTTTAGAGCGGCACAAGTTGATTATAAGGGCTGCAAATAACCTATCAAATTTAGTCGATAACGGACAGGTGCTGTCCACATAACCCCCGTTACTGAAGACTAAAGTTTAGAGGTAAGGAGACGAAGTGTCGACCCTTTCTTTCCATAGAACCCCTGAGTATATTATGGAGAACCCCGTTTAGAAATCATCCAACATTAGCAAAAATGAGTTGGCGAAAATCCTCTCCTAATTAGAATTAATTCCAAATTGTTGCCGAAGGTAGAAATTTCTCAATTGCATTTTTTGCTACAAAAGGAACTTAATTATCTCATTAGTAAATGCCCATGCACTTTCATTAAAACTGTCGAAAAATTGCACGAACATAATTGAAGGTCGCTCTTATTTATTAATATTTAACAATTCGAAATTAAAATAATTTTAAGCGCTCGTTGTTTTTTCTGTAACTTTCGCACTAATAACTATATATATAATATGCGAACCTATAATTTCCGAAATAAAATTTTCTTAATTACACCAACTTCATTTTTTAACATCTCGACTAGTAATTGAGAAGTTAATTAACAATTTCCTATAACTATAAGGAAATAATATATGTTGTCCAATTATTGTATACGGGTTGGCGAACTTCGGTACGCACATAAAAATTTAACTATAGTTACCTGGTAGTTAATTAATTAATTTAAGAAAGTTTTCACTTACGGCGATGTGCGAAATTTATTCTTCTTGCAAATTTAAAAACAATGCATACGCTTAATTGTTGTAGGATGCGGACATTTGATAGTGTTATAATAACGTTTTGAATACGGACCGCAAACGGAAGGAACATTTGGTTGTAAACCTCATTTTATAACTTTTATTGTTGTATTGATATTACCTACTTTTCAGTTTTTCGTATGAAACTTACAATTCGCTCGGATTATCTTTAAACGCTGGCCGATATCAATGTTGAAGAAAGGGCGGTATCCTGTAATTTACCGCAAAAGTTCCTTCCTAAGTATTGAAACAGATATGCCGCTTACCGACATACTTATTTATTTCAAGTTGCACTTTCAGAATTTTGAATTACGGTACCATGCATACGCTTTAGTCTGCGCGACAACATTTTTACAAGGTTTTTTTCGCACATAATATGTGATAAATCTTTCCAATCGTTTGTGTTTAAAGTCAGTTTGATTGGACCTTCAGCGCGTTATCAATATCATTATACCGGATATCCGAAAAATGATATTTTTAGAGTTTTAAATGCAATATCTTGTTATTTGGACTGATAAGGAAATTAAAGTGATAATTTCGCAAATAAATTTCGGGCTCATTGATTTAATTACGAAGTTTGTGAAATTTGTAAGACACTGTGCTATTGGTCATCGGCAAACCATACGCCAGTAGAATAATATCAAACATCCCTAAAACTGTATCGACGAGCGGTCTGGAGAACAAAAACAGATCTTAGCCCCTACACCAACTACTCTTTGATTGAGAAAAGGTCCAAACGCACAATTTAACATCCGAACATTCCGAACATTCAATTACGTGCACTTCATTAATTAAAAATATACTTTTTCTGCATCGGTCAACTCTAGAATTTGACATTTTGGTTATCAAGGTGTGAGCTTGAAAATACAATCTGTTTCAATGTAAGTTGGCACTATTGCTAGCTTTCTTAGTTGTAGAGTTAGAAAGGCGGTTAAATTGCCAAAATTGTGTATTTTTACAAATTTCTACAAAATCCATATAATTTAAAAAAATATCAATATCTTATTTTTCAGATCATAAAAAAATTGACTTCTTTAATATGCATATCATTACATCATATGATAGCTTATTAAATTCTCTACAAAAGTGTTTAATGCAACATATCTAAAATACTTCAAATAGCACAATTTTTCAATTATTTTCATGTCGATCTATAGTTATCCATAAAATGATAAAATGACGTTTGTTCACATTTGTACATTGCTTCTAAATTTATCCTCTAGTATTAATATACGCGTCCCTTAAATCGTGGAAAACACAAACTTCGAGTTTCCTTTAAGACGAACTTACAACCTACAACCTTGGTAAAAATAAAGAGAATGTTGAAAATTATTGTAACGGAAAATAAACTCGAACTTTGCGTTTTCCACGATGTAAGGGACGCATATGTTTATGTTTGTTTATTTGATTCAGTAGAAAAAATACACCACTTTGATAAATCAACCATCTTTCTAACTAAGAAAGTTAGCAATAGTGCTGACTCAATTTGAAACAGACTGTATACAATGATCCTTGCTGTAAATTATTTCTTCTACAATTTTCGCCCCCCAAAATTTAAAATCAAGGGGTTTAAAGTGGAAGTGCATCCTTCAATCCCACAATTTTGAAAGTATCACGGTTTTAAAACATGGTTTGAAGCTTCGTTTCAGCATCACAAGTTGAAATATATTTGTGCATTCTTCATTTTTTCATGAAAATTGATGTTTTAACTCATGATTGAAATTTCTTTCATAATCGCGGCTTGAAATATTTTTTGTCTAAATTTTGATGCTGTTGGCTTTCAAGTTGAAATTTAACACTTCAAATATTCCTCAAAGTTCGCTAAAAATTGTCAAACTTTGATATTTGACTTTCACTTTTCCTCTCCTTGCCACCTTCTTCGCGACTCGTTCATACTTCTTTAATTACCACTTCCTTTGCTTGAGCAGAATTTATTTATCACAAAGAACTTTAGTGACTCGAATAGATTAAAGCACAGCAAAGGCGTAAAAGAGGAGCTGATATGCCGTTTTTTAGATAGAGTGATGGTGTGGTAATAGGTATGTTAGCAATCGCGAGCTCTTAAAAATTGCGAGCACTTAAAAAAATCGATATTCGAAAGCTTCAAATTGTGAGTGGGAATCGCAATTAATTTTTTTTAGAGCTCTCGAGGAGCTTTTTGATAAGTAAATTGGATACTTTGTTAAAAGCTCGACCAGTCCTCATTATAAAGTAACCTAAGCCAATACCTTGATGAATGATTTGGCAAAGTGTCTTATGGCAGATATTCAGGAGAATTTGTGACTTTTTCATATTATAAAAAGAACTTACGCCATTATCTACCACCATGGTATTTAAAGCGTCTCTTTATTGCGTTTAAAGGCCGTAGTTTCGACTGTTTGACGTTATTGCTG